CTGTCTTGTGTACATGTTTAAATGATGCCTCCTATTGTGATATTTAATGCAGTAAAGAGAGCAGAGAACATACAGAATATTGGTTTAGGGGAAGGAAAAGAATTAATTTGTAAGTCCTCTTGTTACTGTGTGCAATTTAAAATTCTACAAAGACAATCTACTTCTTGCCAAAGATATATGAGGAAAAGTTTATATAATCCACAGCTTTCACTTATTATTTTATTACCAGACTCATTTGTCTCTTTTTCACTTGACATGATTCTCAAATTTTCATTCCTAACAGAAATTTAAATTTTTCTATTCACTGACCATTTTACTACATAAAAGGTACTTTTCATTCTCTTGATAATAATCCAAACTCAGTAATCAATGTCTAAAATACTTTAGACCCATTCAAAATATGTCATACATTTTTTAAATAATATAACCAGAATCACAGAAGGTATAGAACTCCCTTGATCAGAAAAACATATCTCATCCAATTTAGAGAAAAAACAGCACGGGCTATGCCTTGGGTTGGATAACTTCTCCTCCAACGTTCATGTCAATCTGCAACATCAGAATGTGGCCTTACTCGGAAACAGGGTCTTTGAAGATGTCATTACTTAAGATGAGGTCACATGGATTGGAGTGGGCTCTACCCCAAAATCTGGTGTATTTGTAGGACGAGTAAACTGAGACACAGAGATAGTCATACAGGGAGAATGCCATGTGAAGATGGAAGTAGAGCTGGTAATGTCATGTCTAGGATTGCTGGCAACCACCAGAAGCTAACTATAGACAAGGAAGAATCCCCGCCTCCCACCCCCAACACACACACACACACACACACACACACACAAAACCATCAGGGAGCACGGGCCTGCTGATACTTGATTTCAGACGTCTAGTCTCCAAAACTGGGAGGGAAGAAATGTCTATCGTTTTAAGCCACCGAGTTTATGGTATATCATTATGGCAGCCTAAAACCAATACTGATTTTGGTACCCAGAAGTGAGGTGCTACTGCAACAAATACCTAAAAATGTGGAAGTGAATTCGAAATTGGGTGATAGGAATAAGCCGGAAGAGTTTTGAGATGCATGATTTAAAAAAGCCGAGACTGCCTTGAGGAGACTATTGGAAGATATGTGAATATTCAAGGTAATTCTGCTGAGATCTCAGAAAGATCGAGAGCTGAAGAGAAAGCTTCTGTCATTTTAGAGAATGCATACATGTCTATAGCATTATGAACAAAATGTAGGTAGAAATGTGAACATTAAAAGTGCTTCTCATGAGGTCTCAAGTGGAAATGTTAATGGACACTGGAAGGCACTCCTTGTTATAAAGTAGCAGGAAACTTGGCCACATTGTTGGTGGAAAGAACTTCTCAGCGATGAGCTTGGGTACTTAGATAAAAAGACTTCCAAGCAGAGAGACAGGTGTGGCCTGGTTTCGCTTCCCTGGTTACAGTAAAATGCGAGAGGAAAGAGATTCATTGAGGAAGGAACTTTTAAAAAAAGGAACCAGCACCACTTGATTGGGAAAAATTTCTTCCTGTCTGATAAGCATGCTCTGACAAGGAACAAGGGTGTGGCCAGACAGTCATTTGCTATAGAGATTAGATATGTGATTTAGGGATCTGATCAACCATCCAAAGAGGTCAGGATTAGAGATGGGGTACACATTTCTGTGGACGCATCCTCAGCATCCACAGAAGATGAAATTATTGAGAATCTCACAGTAGCAGAAACACTGCTGATAGACTGAAAGGAACAAAGATGGGGTACAGATAAAGGGACCAGGAAGGAAAGGTGACTGCCTCAGCAGGTCAAGTGGGCTTAAAGAATAGAGCATTATGGTACAGATAATTACTCTCAGACTTGACAACTGATGGCATGTACCCTGCTGCATTGCTAGCCTCCTCTAGACTAGTAAGCTCTTTATTCTTTCAATTTTCTCCCTTTCAGAATGAGAATATCTATCCCAAATGCTCCACCATTGCATTTTGGAAGCAGGAAACTTGTTTTCTAATTTGATAGGTCTGTGGAAGGAGAATGATATTGCCCCAAGCATGGAACATACCCAGAGTTTTACCCAGCCCCGAGTTAGGTACTGAAATTTGAGATTTTTTGAATTAATATTTGATTAATTCAAATAATAGACAAGATTTGGGTCTTAGGGTTCATGCTGGAAAGGATTAAGACATTTAGATGGTTTCGGAGGGGAGTGAATGGATTTTATAAACAGGGTGGACATGAAGTTGGGGGTCCAGAGAGTAGAATGGGTTGAATAGTGCCCCTCAAAATTTATGTCCACCTAGAAAATTAGAATGTGATTTATTTGGAAATGGGGACTTTGCAGATATAATTACTTGAGATGAAGTCACTTAATATTAGGAGGAACGCTAATTCAGTGACTGATGTCCTTACAAGAGAGAAAATAATTGACACAGAGACAGTTACCCAAGGAGAATGCCATATGACCACGAAGGCTGAGATGGGAGTGATGTGTCTAGGATGATCAGCGACGACCAGCAGCTAGGCAGAAGCAAGAAAAGATACTTTTCCTAGAGCTGGGAGAGAGCATGGCCTTGCTAATACCTTGCATTTGGACGTCTAGCCTCCAGAACTGTGAGATAATAAACTCTTGTTGTTTTAAGCCACCCAGTTAGCAGTATTTTGTTACAGCTTCCCTAGGAATCTAATAGAGACTGTCAAAATACCCAGATAGCATAACATTACTGCTATGAATGGTAATGGGGCAAATTAAAAAGTAGATTTCAGAGAAATTAAAACAAGATTGATATGACTAAATCAAAATGTCTTCTATATAATGATTCATAAGTAAACTAAATTTGGCATAAGACGTAAGTACATATGCCAGTAAAATTGATGCTGCTGAGTATAAGATTCAACTGAAATCAGGAAAAATGTGTGTGTGTGAGAGATATTCTTCCAAATCTTACCAAATAGTTAGAGATAGAATACTTTCCTTAAATACTTGCAAATTAATAGCTCTTTGTGCTTATTTTTAAAAATTGTTGACTTCTTTTCACACACACATTAATTATATTTTTAGTAATTTTGCTTAAAATTCCCATATATACTACTGGGTTATAGAGCAAAATGTATGACTGCAAGTATGTGCACACATGTACATGAGTATCTGCTCTAACAATATAATAGTCTTTTGTAAGGAGAAAGCATTTCTTCATATTTGTAAGTATGGCTTCAAATACATGCATGTTTTTAGTCAAAAACTTATTACTGATAGTATGGGTAGATGATTCAAATCCACAGATACTCGTATTATCTCAAGGCATATATTAATACATTTTTCTACTTTGGGGGAGAATGAATGCATGAACATTAAAATATTCAATTTTTATACATTTATTGGAAGACATTTGACTACATTTTATATTCAAATGAGAAAAAGATAAGGCAAAAATATATTTTCCTTATGAAATCTGACACTAAATTTCACCAAAGTATACTGTAGATTAGCAATAGTTATATTCATTGTTACCAAGGGAATTTTTCTTAAGTTAATTTAGCGTACACACAGGCACACACCCACACTCACATATATACAACACTGTATTTCTTTAGGGTTTTATGTCCCCATATATTAATATCAAATCATCTTTTTTTTTTTTTTCTGTAAGACACTTGTCTCAGCCCATGTGGGAAGCTATAACAAACTACCATAGAGTGTGCGCTTATAAACAACAGAAATTTATTTCTCACATTGCTGGAGGATGAGAAGAAGTCCAATCAAGGCACAGTGTCTGGAGTGGATCCACTTCGTGGTTCATGGATGCCTGTCTTCTCCCTGTGTCCTCACACGGTGCAAGGAAGCTGCTTTTATAGGGGCACTAACCCAATTCATGAGGGCTCCACTCTCATGATGTAACCATATCAGAAAGGCCACCCCTCCTAAAACCATCACGTTAGGGATTATGTTTCAACGTACGAATTGTTTCAACATATAAACATTCAGTTTATAGCATCATTAACTTAATAAAGGAAAGTAAATGCTCATACGAATTGTTTCAACATATATGTTTCAACATATAAACATTAAGTTTATAGCATCATTAACTTAATAAAAGAAAGTAAATGCTGTGAGAGAGGAGAAGTCAAATAGCTCTAAAAAGAAATTGAGTCTAATTTCACAATTGGCCTGTTGTAGAACTATCTAAGAATGAAAAAAAAAGAATATATATATATATGTATGTATATATAACTATATATATGTATATATAGTTATATATACATATATACATATATAACTACATATACATATATAACTACATATATACATATATACATATATACATATATACGTTATTGATTATTCATGTGTCCTTTGCAAGTGGAAAGCCTAAGAATCAATCCATCCAAGTTGTATAACATCTCTCAAAATCATTGACTCTAACAGTGTAAAGATTAGTATCTTATACAAATGTAAGAAAATATCTCTTATTGTTTTGTTATATTGGTCACAGTAAAATCTTTCTGCCATGTTACTTCAGTTTCTTTAAATGAAAAATCAATGCATGCTTTATTGTAGCCTAGCAAATTACACCTGTCACTTTGTTTCAAATAATGCCTTCTAAGTACCATGTGTACATCCTAGGTTTCAGTGGGTTCTTGATAGGGATTTGAGTCACTGAGCCAGGCTTTACAATAAGGAATAGCTATTCGATTAATTTTTTCTTGATATGTAGTTCTCAATCATTATGCTGACCCAGAAAAATAATGCAAAGTGAGATCCTAAAACCTGATTTATATTATCAGAACTATAATCAAAGAGAAAAAAATATTCAATATACTTTGGGTTTTATACAAAATTTCTGCTGACTACTAGACTGCTTTAATGAGCAGATTTTGTAATCTGTAATGCTTACCAAAAAGTCATGGAAACATAATAAGCCATGTAATCATCATTATCCTTGACGATGGCTACAGAGAAGAGGGAAATCATTTAATCTATATTACTTTGATGTCAAAACAAAATGGCACACTGACAGGTACAGGCTGGGTTGTGATTAAATTTTGAAGATTACAAACGTATATAACTGAATTCTCATTCATTTTAGTCTGGAAATGAGAGGACAGGTATCAAAGAATATTAAAACATCCAACTAAGTCAGAAATAAATCTTATCTGAAAAATTTTCTTTGAATTTCCTTAACTCAACAACAGTAAGAGTAAAAAGAAAAAGATAACCCAATATTCTTTTTATGACAGAAAGCAAACATCAGTAGTGGTCTATGCAATCAAAAATACCAAGCTTATATATATTCTACAATTACAAATGAGTTATTTCTAAAAGTTCATTCATTTACTTTGGGAATTCAAAATGTATTTTATTACATAAAAGTCATAGTAAATAGATTCTTAGTTTAATTTATAAAAACCTGCTATATTCACAAGGTAGCTGACTATCATACTACGAATATTAACTCTGGATTTAATTTGAAGTCCTACCAACAGAGAACAATAAAACAGTGGAAGTGGAGGAGGAACCAAGTTAGATCCCTTCTTTCCATACTCGGAAGCGACCCTATGAAGACATATGAAATAAGAGTTTATTTTACTCCAATCTCCTTTGCTCTCCTTCCCTTATACAACTCTTTCTCCCATCCCTCAATTTATTAGACTTCCTTTATTTTCCCAATTGGAAAATATTATTTTGGTTTATTTACAAACCCCCATAAGTACATTATGCTCCCAGGTTACCTAAAGACTTGTCTTCTCTCAAGAAAACTTCCATTTATGCCAAGTTGTTCATATCTGATGTATGTCATGCATAGAGTCATGAAAGCGAGATGATTAAATTATATCCAAAGTCATGTGACTTAATAAACCCATAATTTTCTATAAACTTAGAGAAAAATAAGGACCGTTTATGAACTTTTTAATGGACTTCTTGGCCAAAGAATCCATGACTTTACAAAAATGAGAACGTTTACAGAACTAGTGAGCTGTCTCATTTATGAAATTTTGATAAAAGTAAACTGGTGCTATAAAAACACAATTAAGGCAGAACACACAAATGTGCCTGCGCACCTGCACACACACTTACAAAAAGACTTTTGCAAAGACACAGAAAGGCCAGTGTCACATGGGAGCCTGCCAGCATCCCTTGGTGTGCCTGCTTCTAATAGCCATTTCCCTTCCCCACTTTTTGAGGGCACAGTCAGCAGCAGGTGTTCAGAATGTGTCAAAGACAATGAGGAAGGGAGAGTGTTCTTCTGTGTATGTGGGTCATTTATGTCAGACACTGCCTATCTTATGACATACAGCTGCATATTATACTGTCCAGCCCTTTTAGTACCCGGAGAGCACAATAGAGGCGACGAGAGACCAGCTATACCATTCTTTGACTTTAGTTATCTGCTCTATTTGGGGTGTTGAAAATTTCAGTCTCTAAAGCTGGATTCTTACAAATATCAATGATGTTAGGCAGTTAGAATATTGGGGAAGGGCAGAGACTGAATTTGACAAACCACACAGCTGGATCTCAAGCCTCACTACATGTTCCGTGGGTCAAATTACTTAACTTCTATATTCATTCATTCACTTCTTTGTAAAATGAGAATATCCTCATAGAGCTGTTGTGGGGATTAAATGAGCACCACTCAGTGAATGCTACCGTTAGTTTATAATGCAAGGGCGGAAATGGGAGGTCGAGGAAGTACAACACAATGTGGACACAAACTCGGCTTAAATGAGGAGCCTCTTGCAAGTGAAAGCCATTCATTTTGGGACTCTGTTTTAGGATCATTGAGCAAAACACACAGTTATTGTTGTTGCTCTTATTTTTAATATGCTCAATGTAACATTTCCCTGAATTTAAGTGTATAATGAGTAACACATAATCTTTTGGGGGTGGTATTAATTTACAGTTTAGGTTAAAAGGTAATAAATATACTATTCTTTCTCTCATTTTTGTAATGAATGGAATCAGAATTCCAGAGTCATTGATGATCTATCTCTATGCTTCTCTAACAAGAAAGTGTGTTCAAAATACATAAAACCAAAAATAAACAAGACACACTTCTCTGAATGTGAAATAATTGAAAAATAATTTAAATCGTTACTTTTTTGTTAAAACAAATATTATTATGAAAGAGAAAGCAAACTTGAGAGTGTTTCAAAAGTATGCTTTAGTATCCTCTGCCTTCAGGAATTCTTTAGTAGAAACACCTGAGAAATATTAAGAAGGTACAGGCATGTGACCTGGGCCACATGCAAATCAGAAAGAGATCAGAGGTTAGAGCATATTCCCCATGTCTGCCATACTGGTTCTTCGCCATAACTTATGGAACAAAAACTGGGGAGATGGAAGAGAGAAAGTAATACTGTGAGCAGGTACTTTGATAAACTACAAAAAATGATACTAGCTTTTGTCTTTCTTTGACTTTTTGAGAAACTAAATTCGATTTTTAACAACTTTTTTTCACCAGATCTTAATACTGAAAGAGAATAACAAAAAGGTTTATTTTTAGTTTTGTCTTCTATTCATTTTTTACATATAGTCTATTGACATTCAAAGAAATGGTGACACAAAAAAGTATACCTTATTTAACTCTTAACTGAACAATGTGGAAAGAATCTTATTTTCATGATTGCTGGGCCTGAACTTTTCTTAGAGTTTAGTTCAGGTTTCCAAGTGTTTGATTGACTGACTGTTCACATACAGCATGGTAGTTACGCTAATAAATCTATTTTATATTTTTCTAAAGATATTTGGACAATATCTACATAACACCACACAAAAGAAAGCAAATATTCAATTAGATATTCAGGAAAGCATATATTCAGTTCATCTCTTAAATCAAGTATATTCACCTGAGCTTCTTTCCTTGCAATTATTATTTATACACATAAACAATCTTTGTGTAGTTCGAACCTCAAAGGAGATATAATTATATGTCATAATTTATATTTTAGGGATGAAAGAAAGTTTAAAGATCATGCAATAAAATGTCTTTATTTTCTAGGTAAGAAAATTGAGCTTCGGAATAGTGGTAAAACAAAAATTATTCTCCCAATGCAGACACAGTTCTTTTCTCACACTACATGTATCTGTATACTTCTCTCCTCATGTTGTTTTGTTGAAGTCACCCATAATAGGATGATCACAGAATGTATTGTCCAAACAAGGGTATTTCTGAAAGTTATAGGGGCAGCTATTAACAATTATGCCTGGAAACAAATGTAGACAGAGATTTTTATGAGTAAACCATGACATGTGATAATCTATGCCAAAAGTAAAGAAAGACCAAGTTTAGCACCCTTTGATTTGTTCTGAAAGTGTGTTAAAAAATAAAACAAATAAAAATTTCATTTGGGACCAATAATCTTTATAACATATTTTTTAGAAAATAGTATAAATTTTTATCTCTCAAAATTGAAAAAGAATTGTACAAAGATGTTTCAACTATGTACACAGAAAACGCAGTAAAAAAATCTTTACTGCTTTTGTGTAAAACAGGCACTATAAATAAACAGGCACTATAGAAGAATGTAAAGGAATTCTATATAAAATATTAAGCTAATCAAAAGCCTTTAAACCAAATTAAGAGTTATAAAAATTCATAATAAAAACATGCTTTGTAAAAATCTAATAGACAAAGCAGCTAGTAAAGAATAAGACAGAAAAAAAAAAAAAGAATAAAAGGGCATTAGATCCAAAATGAAAATACAAGTATGAAAAGAGACAGTGTGAATTAATCAAACAAAACTGTTGAGAGAAATATAATGTGCAAATTTAATGAAGGGATTCTGGTGGTGCGCACGAGTAATCAAAGAATGACAGATCAATAATTAAAATTAGGTAGATAGCTGAGAAAATAGTTTCTTAAAAATTCAAGAAATTAATAGAAAGGAATTTTCACCTTTTTTTAATTTGGGAAAGAATAAAACAGAAATATAAATTATTCCTCACATACACATACACTTTAAAAACAGAAACCAATGAAACATAACTAAATATAGACTTTCTAAAACCTCTTTTGACACATCAATGCCTACAGGAGAATGCACACGTTATAATCATACAAGCCGGAACCATTCAGATTTACCATGACTTGTAATTATCTAGGACACTAAAAGATCCCGGCAAAAGTTAATCTAATAAATCTGCCATTATCTCTGATACTTCAAATCTGTGCCTTGAGCTAAACAGTTGTCAAAACGGAGCTCTGTGCACATAGAACTGCATAAGAGTGGGGGCAAAAATAACTGCCAATGCTTTTCTGATTTTTTTCCTTTCAATTTTTTGATGTAAAATGGTTAGCTAGTATTTTATTCCGATTTTCCACAAGAGGCCAAAGATCACTTTATTTATGTAGTTTTCTCATAAATACATGCTACATAGCATGAAGGCGACACCTCATTTGAGTTCTCTTAGCTCTGAAAGTTGGCTTTGGCTGTATTCACATGCATTCTACAAGGCAACGTCTCCGATTATTATATTTCTACGACCTGAATGACAGCTGATCAGCTTCAGAATAAGAGACAGTATGTTAGAATATTTTTAGAGGGGTCACATATTCAGTGTTTTCTGTAAAACAGGTAACTCCATTTTACCAGATAATGCTCAAAATTGAAATAGTGAAAAACACAACATGCTGCTATTTGGCATTTTCTGTCACATGAGCAGGAATAGTTGCCTGAGTTTTGTTATCAGCTTCCGTTTCTCAGGAAAACTTTAAGAAAGCAGTACAATCTTTATAAACTACTAACAACCAATATTTGAACCATAATTTTACTTCAGAACTATGACTCTATGCATCTATATGCTCTGCAGCCTCAATTTCTCTATCGGGTCAACAAGAGAAGGCTCTTCTCCTGAATATCTCCCTGTAGTGGTACTTAAAATAATCATATAAATGAAGGATCTTTATATATATATATATAGACTTTCTAAAACCTTTATATAAATATAGACTTTCTAAAACCTCTTTTGACACATCAATGCCTACAGGAGAATGCACACGTTATAATCATACAAGCCGGAACCATTC